TAAACATTGGCGAATCGCTGCAGACCGCTAGATCGCTGTATGCTCGAACGGAGAGTAAACTACAGTCTCATCCGGAGATTGCCACTCAATACAACGATTTTCTACGCGAATACCTCGATCTCGGTCATATGGAACCCGTCAAAGAAGGCGAGATCCCACCGTATACACCAGTATACATCCCTCATCACGCCGTTCTACGTGATTCCAGCGCTACCACCAAACTACGGGTAGTCTTTAACGCCTCGTGTAAAACTCGTGATGGTACTTCTCTTAACGATCACCTTTTGATCGGGCCGAAGTTTCAACAAGACTTACCCGCGATAATCGCTCGGTGGCGTCAGTGGCGCTTTGTATACAGCGTAGACATCGCAAAAATGTTCCGCCAAATTTTAATTGATCCGATCGACGCTGACTTTCAGCGTCTACTTTGGCGACCGACGCCGGAATCGCCACTACAACATTTTCGTTTACTTACCGTCACTTACGGATTGGCGTCCGCGCCCTACCTCGCGATGCGCGTTATCAAACAGCTCGCGATGGACGATGGTCCTGCATTCCCCGCTGCCGTTCCGATTGTCGAGCATTCGCTTTATGTCGACGACGCGTTGTTCGGTAGCGACGAAATTAAGGAATTGCGTGCCGCACGGGATCAACTGATCGGCTTGATGCAGAGAGGTGGATTTCAATTACGGAAATGGGCCGCGAATTCCCCGCTACTATTAGAAGATATTCCGGGTAATCAACACGAGCTCGCGGATCATTTTATCGCGGCGGACGAGGCGCTAAGAGTTCTCGGCTTATCGTGGCAACCGCACGAGGATTCCTTTCGTTTCGTGACAACTCAGCCTGTGCTGACCAGTCCAACACGACGCTCCGTCCTATCGTTTATCGCAAAACTCTACGATCCGTTAGGCTGGGCTGCTCCTGTTGTAATTGTCGCAAAAATTTTACTCCAGGAGCTATGGTTGCTCAAAGGCGACTGGGATGATCCAATCCCGCAGGAATTTGTACAACGCTGGCAGAATTACATTTCTGACCTGCCTCGATTAGATTGCATCCGTGTCCCCCGATGGACCGGACAACACAAAGACAATTTGTGGTTCGAGGTGCACGGCTTCGCCGACGCCTCCAACCGTGCATACGCAGCTGTCACGTATCTGAGGGTGGTTCACTCCTCGACTAATTTTCAAGTCAGCCTCCTCAGCGCGAAGACAAAAGTCGCCCCTGTCAAAACTCTCAGCATCCCTCGCCTCGAGTTAAGTGCAGTAGTTTTGTTAGGCCGGCTACTCCAGTGGACAAAAAAATCACTTGGCTTGTCACATGTTCCGATTTACGGGTGGACGGATTCCACTATTGTACTGTCGTGGTTAAAACAGCATCCATCGACGTGGACCACGTTCGTCGCGAATCGCGTTTCCGAATTGCAAACGTCGCTGCCTTCAATTAGCTGGAATCACGTCTCGTCCCGCGAGAATCCAGCCGATTGCGCCTCGCGTGGGCTTTCAGCTGCAGAACTCGCGTCACATAAACTGTGGTGGTCCGGACCGCCTTGGCTGAAAAGGGCCTCCACTTCATGGCCGAAACATAATCCCGTTATGGACGCGACGAACGCCGCGCAAATTTCCGTCGAAGAACGAAAATCTAACGCGCACCACGTCAATGGCGAGCTAGAGTGGGAGCTTCTTCACAAGTACTCCAGTTGGACTCGACTAGTCCGAATAACGGCGTACGTTCGCCGATTTATAGCAAATTTAAAAGGGAGGACCGCATCCCTACCGACAAAGAAGTTGCCGATCGATGTTGCCGAACTACGCGAAGCCGCGCGATTTTGGGTTCGGCTCACGCAAAAAATTCACTTCCCAAAGGAGTGGAACGCGGTCTCTAATAATATTCCGGTATCTAAATCTAGTTCCCTGAATACATTACACCCCCTGATGGGAACAGACTCATTACTCCGTCTTGGCGGGCGGTTAAAAAATGCCGCCCTAGGATATGCCGAAAGGCACCCCGTTCTGCTGCCGAAAAATCGTGTTTCAGAGCTTCTGATAGACCAAGCCCACCGAGCAACACTTCACGGAGGTACTCAGCTTACGTTGCGTACTCTCAGACAAAATTACTGGATCCTCGGTGGTCGTGGTCTTGTAAAACGGCATATTCGCCAATGCGTGATATGCACGCGTTATTCCGCAAGAACGTCCGTTCAGCTGATGGGGGATCTGCCTCCCCCACGAGTAAATCCTTCGCCGCCCTTTTCTCATACAGGCGTCGATTACGCAGGGCCGTTTGGAATAATCTCGGTTGTCGGACGTGGTCAAAAACCCCTCAAACATTATGTCGCCCTGTTCATTTGTCTCGCAACGAAAGCTATACATTTAGAAACTGTAGAAGACTATTCTACAGCTGGCTTTCTTGCCGCCTTCTATCGCTTCGTTAGTCGACGCGGCCTCCCGACGCACATGTACAGCGACAACGGCACCAATTTTCATGGTGCAGATAAAGAACTTCGTAGACACTTCCGGTCAGTGTGTGCGGACCCTGCGTTAAAGGACGCCCTCACGAACGATGAAATACAATGGCACTTCATTCCCGCTGCCGCGCCTCATTTTGGAGGGCTTTGGGAGGCGGGTGTTAGGAGTTTTAAGTTTCATCTTAAACGAGTTATCGGATCGCGTACGCTGTCGAAGACCGAATTTGCGACTCTGCTGTGTCAGATCGAGGCGTGCTTAAATTCACGCCCGATAGCTGCGCTAACGGACGATCCCAACGATATGTCCGCGTTGACTCCAGGTCACTTTATAATAGGCCGCCCTCTAGTCGCCGTACCGGAAGAGTCAGTGCTCGATATCAATGCCAACCGATTGTCACGGTGGCAACTCGTGCGAGCGATGCAAGAGCAGATTTGGCGCTCTTGGTCGACAGATTATTTGCAATCGTTACAAACTCGTAAAAAATGGTCTACGCCGCAATCGGCCGTAGCAGTAAACGATCTTGTCATCGTGAGAAATCCGTTGTTGCCCCCTTCAAAGTGGGAGCTAGCCCGCGTGGTGCAAGTGCATCCGGGCTCGGATGGATATGTTCGCGTCGTCACGGTGCGTACGGCAAACTCTCAATACAAACGTCCAATAGCTCAAATCTGCCATTTACCGGTATCCTCCGGGAGCGATGCATTGGAGCTAAAGACTCCTTAATAGTTGTACGTCAAATGCGACATCCTGTATATAACAGACTATATAATTATTTCGTTCATTATTATTGTTCAAGGCGCACTACAATTCTTCTATATTTTATTCAAAGTTGTACTTATTGAATTAACCAGCCGACGTTTCGCATCCTATCAAGATGCGAGGCGGGCGGTTTGTTCCGGATTATCCGTGGCATTATAGATTCAATTGGAAAACGTTTCTAGACGTCTCTTCGAGGGCATACGTATGTCCCTTTTGTTTTGCTCAGATAAATTTGGTACACGACGATCGTGCGTGACCAAAGCCATATTCCGCGATTCTGTAGGCTGTCGGCTCCTTATTGGACGCGCGGCAAACATGCTATAATTTCGCGCGTTGATAGGCTGATTAGCGAAAAGCCCGCAATTCCTTGCGGCGCATACCTTTCCGCGGATTTAGGCAGTGCGAGAGAAGAGACCTTACGCGACGGTCGTGTGTTCGCTAAATTCGTCACAGCACGTGTATTCGTAGGAGAAATAAAGTTAACTTGTGTCTGCATACGGCGAGTTATTCGATGCCCTCGAGAAACCCAGATCCCGCAATCCTTCCGATTAAAGATATTGCTCAGAAGAAAAAAGGAGCGTGAACATTAATCGCAGTAACAGCGCTGTTAGCGAAAAACTATCGAGTCATTTCTTTTATTTTATTTTGTTCTCAATAAACCCGCTTATTGTTGCTTTAATACTGAGAGTATGATTTTGGGGCTCTCGGCGTAATCTTTCCTCTTGACTCTCCCTGTATCAAAGCAGTCCTTGTCTTTTCCCAAGACCCTGCCCCTCTACCATTGATTGAGCTGGCCTAGCCGCGTAAGAGCGAGAATTTCCGGGACTTTGGCATATGTTTCGCGTTTGGTGGTGTCGCGTTGGGAATTCGAATTTTTCGCGAGGTCGACGTCGCCTTTAAAGACGTCTGGCGCCCAACTTTCGCGTTTCGCGATTCTCGCTCGATCGCTTTCGCCTTTGGGGTCTTCATTATAGTCGTTGTTCGACGGATCGTGCTCATCATTTCTTTCGACTTGCGGCGCGCAAGCGAATAACGTCGCAATACGTATATATATATATATATATTTGAAATATATATTGTAAATAAAATGATTATTAATTGTCGGCGCCAAGTTAATTATCATTTGTATAAATGATTTGATATCAATTAAATTCTACCATCTTTTCTTTAATTATCCTTATTATTTTTAATTCTAATGGCATGTATTATCTGTATAAAAGATATGATCGATAGTCGGCGCCAAGTTAAATTCTAATATCTTTAAAAGCCCATGTGGTCTACTATTCCTAACATGTACAATCTGTACTTAAAAAAATATAGTACTATCTTTATCTTCATATCATGACATATATCATTTGTATAAAAGATCTGATATCAACAGTCGGTGTCAAGTTAAATTCTAAAATAGTATAACCCATGTACTACTGGCTTTTAATCATTTACACTAACTTCGACCCACTGCATTTCCTCCCTCCCCTTCTTCGCCGCTTGCCACCCACACTACCCATCTTTTTTTCATTCTGTTCCTATTAACAATTAGAATAGTCTAATAAACAGCAAATGTGATAGAATTTAACTTGGTAAGGTATATTTCACTGGTTAGTTAAATTAACAAATCCCACCGCCACCCTCATCGTCAAATATATATAATATTTAGTAACATAATTTTTTATAAAATGGTATCAAAACGATGGTCGTCTGTATGAAAATATATAAATTTTTTATCTTTGTATAGTAGAACTTTATTTGATATTAATTACATGTTGCTCGTTATATATTTTTGTTAATATTTTCTGTAAAAATATTAGAGAAATGTCTTTAGCACCTCTAGGCCATTGTCTTTTTATAACTTGTGCGTCATCGATTTCAATCCAAGATGTTCCTTCTTTACACATACTTGTATAATGACCCTCATCGATACACGAACCGTAATGAAATATAGCACTCATAACTTTAAATGTCTGTCCAGCTATTATTATTTTCGTTGTCGGAACAGCACGTAAACTAAATTTGTGTGGTATTTTTACTAATTTACCATCTTGTGAAGAAAATGATGTTAAGTTGATAATAAGTATCTCTTTTGGCGGAACTAATTCACTCTTAAGTAATATATCATTTCTTTCACAATGTTCACATTGTATCAAACGTTTGATGCCAAGATGATGAAAATGTAGCTTTTAATAAATCATCAAGATTATAACTTTTCTTCTTCAGATCGTTAATAGATAATGAAAGGAAGACATTAGTATTAGTAATAACTTTTGTATTACCACATGAATTGCATCGACAGTTACTTGTAACTTTATGTTCTACCATATTCTTTATATAATTATATTTTGTACAAAGAGCTGTAAGAAATTCTAAAGCATTTCGTTTAATAGCAATCGAAAAATACTCTCCTAAAGATTGCCGTATCTCATCTGTGTTCAAATTAGTCATTCCATGTTCATATCGATGCGCGAATAAATTTAAAACATCAAGTTTGTCGTAGTTTAATAATTCCTTTCTGAAAGTATACAAGTGCAATAAACATTGTAATACTGCATTTGCATAGCACGAAACCTTGTCTATATTTTGAAAACCGCGTATAATCCATGCAGTTCTTCTCGTTGAAGCTTCTTTGTGATCTGATTCTTGAACGGAAGTGATTATTTTTGACAATGTCCACGAAACATCTTTAACCTTACGATAACGTTGTTTCGAAATAGTGATTATTTCTGATTCAGTTTTACCTATTTTTTTCAATCGATTATATTCTATAATTGCTTTTTCACTAGCAAACACGGACGAAGGATCAAAATTGATTAAATGTAGTCCATCAAGACATGTTACTCGAGATAATGCAACATAAACCTGACCACAACTAAATACATTGTTACCTAGATCCATAACAGCATATTGCAAACTCAATCCTTGACTTTTATGAATAGTAATACCATAACTTAAAGATAATGGAAATTGTTGTCTAGTAACATATACTCTATCCATCACTGGAAATTTAACACTTACTCTTTCAATGAAATACTCTAAATAGACGGTAAACGAACTTTTACCTTTTCTATATAATCAGTATTTTTATCCTGTGAAACTGATATAACTGTAGCAATTGTACCATTTACAAGACCCAAACTAGCATCGATATTACGTCTTATCATAACTTTCGCTCCAATTTTAATTGTAATTCGTCTTGACAGTCCAGCTGTTTTAGTATCATCGTCATCATTATTTGACAATACCTTTTCTACTTTTTTTTTCATATATGAAATACAATCAATCGTATCTTCAGCAATTAAAAATATTTCTTTCGAAGTAATACGATTTAACATTGCAGCATTTAATTGATCACACATGTGATTGTTAGGTAGTAAACAAACGATATCAGATGAGAAATTATTAATGAAATCACATAATTCGTTTAATCTTGTCTCAAAAGACTCACCTTTGAAAGATATTTTTCTTTTTTCAAGAATATCACAATCAGATGGTATTAACAAACCAACGCGAATTCTCGAAAGTAACTCACGATAAGATCCGTCTCCTTGCTGACGCATATTAATCTTCAATTCATCATAATCAAATAAAGTAGTCCATAGATTAGTAGCACTTAAAGAACCAAGATATTTACAAATTTTTTCTTTTGTTAAGTGTATAAAAGCAGGATCTTCAAGTACAGGAGGTAACTGAAGCAGATCTCCAAATAAAAGAATGTGCTTTCGACCAAACCAACCATCATCACAATCAGTAGTATTGTATATTTCACATAGTCGTAAGTTTATATATTAAACCAACATGTTTTTCTCTATCTCTTTATCTCTCTTCCTTTATATCTAGTCTAACTAGTTTCACCATACAAACTTACCTTTTTAAAAAAAGGTAGAAAAAAGCGCTAAGAGTGGGTGTTGCTGGTCAAAAAACCATTTGGGCCAGTTTCACCAACGTCAACTACTTAATCAACTGTAAAATTGACCAATCACATTTGCTGTTTAGTAGAACCATCTTTAAAAACCTACATGATATTATCCTTATCATTTGTATAAAAAATTTGATAACAATAGTCGACGCCAAGTTATTCTATTTGATCACAATAGTCGCCGCCAAGTTATTCTACCTTATTACTCACTTAATTTTAATGACATTTATCATTTGTATACAAGATTTGATATCAACAGTCGGCGCCAAGTTAAATTCTACCAAAATAAAAAGTAAAACACAAGTGGTACCTTTAATCTTTAAGAACCCATATAGTACTATTATTTAAATCCTACTAAATTAAAAAGTAAAACCCATGAGGTACCATCTTTATCTTCATACAATGAAACCTAAGTATATGCCTACCATCTTTAAAAACCTACATGATTTTATCCTTACTTACTTAATTCTAATGACATGTATCATTTGTATAAAGGATTTGATATCAATAGTCGGCGCCAAGTTTTTCTACCTCATTACTTACTTAATTTTAATGACATTTATCATTTGTATATAAGATTTGATATCAACAATCGGCGCCAAGTTAAATTCTACCAAATTAAAGAGTAAAACACAAGTGGTACCTTTAATAATATGTAACAACCTGATTTTTGTACTCGGACTAGCTCGTTGTTTATGCGGATCGTACAAAAAGGTTCGGCAGGAGGAGAGTTCGCTTCGGATCGGTATTTCGGTAGTAGCAATTTGAATGATATACGCATAGGTGAAAAACAATGAATATGTTTTATTGCAAGCAAAAGAAAAGAATGAAATAATACAAAATAAAAAATAAGATGAGAATCCGAATTATTGTGATGCACGGAATAAAGATGAAATAACGAAAATAATATATACAAAGAAACGCAGAATTCTGACGCACGGGGCAAAGACAAAGTAACGCAAACGATATATACAAAGGAACGCTCTTTATAAAAGTATAATTATGTACAGAGTATCTTAAATTAAAAGGCCGGCCGGGCGCGGATAAACGATAC